TGAGTCTTGCCATGGCACTCTTCACTTAGCCACAACAGCCTCTGTCATTAGGTCTTCCCTTGGGTGAGGCCTACTGTTGTTAAGACTCGTACCTACTGCAGCGTCCTAGGCTTACACCTTCATCTCTTGGGAGACATCCAGGGACATCTCTAAGTGACCCCCCTGTCACTACCCTGTAATAATCATGGCTTGCGGTCATACTCATTGGTCCTCTCTGACACTCCCTGGTCCTTGGGTAAGACCAGACTCCTTTCTTCTTTGCTCTGTGACTCTCCATTTCCATTTTTGGCCATCACGTCACAATCATACATGTGGAGATGTCTCCACTCTCCGGCTGTCATGGTCACAGTCACAATCAGAGACGCTCAGAGCTATATTGAGATTTGTGGTGCTTGTATTTAAGAAGTATGCTTAATCAGTACAAGATTGGTAAGCTTTAAGGTTTAAGCTGCCAGCTTTCAGGTCTGAGATTGCTTTATCAGAATGACCAAGCTCTCCACATCAACGGCGTTTAGTCACAGTCATGCTACTTGGCATGACACGTTTCAGACTTGATATGTCACAGTCCAGTAAATGCTTTTTTGACTCTTGTATGCATGCACCACAAATCTCTTATATGCATGCAATTAATTTCTAGGTGACCCAGAACAGTGCAAACTAAACCATATCTCTTCCTACTTATATCTCGGAATATCTGAGCAAATGTGAGTCGTGTGATGAGAGTGAGGGACCAAAATATATCTTGGGTTTTTCCCAGAATATTGTCAAGCCATGGCAGAATAGCCAGGTCCTGCCTATGTATGGCAGTCCGTTTGTAAAATAAATAAATCTCAAAATATGAATGGAAATCTCACCTTGAAATAAGTCAACTCCCATCTCAAGGAGTTAACCACGGCCTGGGGCTGGGGCCGAGTAGGTTGGCCACAACTTTGGCCCACTACTAGACGTTTAGGCTGCTTTTCATCCTGCTTGCATTCCTGTCCCCTACCAAGCCAGCTGCATATTGTCAGTGAGTCTCACCCGCTCTCAAACCCCCACACAACTTCCCCCCACATACGCAACGTCTGCCTCCTCTGTTTTCAATCAGTACACCCACCTATCCCACCTATCTGCAAGGATGATCGCGAGGAATCTCCTACTTGTCCGCATTCCTCAGTCCCAAACGACCGCCACTTTGGACTCTCTATCTGGTGCTGCCTCCCCAGGCTGGCTACTGCGCGTATCTGTCGGCCCCAAAACCTGCAAGGCCTCGATGGCCTGAACAATGATGGTGAGCATGGCGATGGTCATACAGCGACAAGCCCAGAGACACGAGCGCGCTGTACGACACAATTGCTCAATGAACAGCCTCGAGAGGGCAGTGTGAAAGCAATCTGCGTATGACATATATAGGCGGGTGTCCGCATGTTTCACTATATTGGCGCCATCTTGTATCTAGGCAGTTGAGTGTGTAGCATAGAACAAAGAGGAGACTCAGTGCGCACTACTTTCAATGGCAACACCTTCACGACATGATCAAGCGCGTCGCAGAACGCACGGCTTCAGTGCTTCCTTGTAATCAAATTGTCCCCCGCGCATCATCGTCCTGTTCGTCGTTGAGGAGCTGAGAGCTCTCTTGAAGATGGTCTTGCTTATCGTCGGAAGAAGCATGGCGATTTCATATCTCTAAGGTGGGATGTTGGTGGTATCTGGGTATGAGCGTTTCTTGGCCGGCTTTGACTTCTTTTTCGCGTCCTTGACAGTTAGACATGGCTGCGTGGGTAACAAGTTGGCGGCAACAGCAGCCGAAGACAATTTGCTGCTGGGCACAGAGGAGCGGAAGGAAGGAGAACTTTCTCGGGGTATTCCCGCTGGGCACAGAGGAGGCGGAAGGAAGGAGAACTTTCTCGGGGTATTCCCGCCAGCTCTCAGGATATCCTGGCAAAGCTAGCGAGAATATCTTGAAAGCTTTGCCTAAAACATTGAGAACTTTCTCAAGGTATTCTCACTAGCTCTCAGGATATCCTGGCAAAGCTAGTAACACTGCATCATGGCATGCCTACTTCCAACACTCTCTTCAAAATATACTTCTTTAAATAGCTCAGAATATCTCGGGATCTCTGAAAATATCTTACATATATCCCAAGATTGTACATCCTGCCAGTTTGAAAAGTTTTACAATAAATCCCTTTCAAATATCAGCGAGATCAGTGGTATCAATGGTGTTGCTCCCTAGACTTCATATGTTTTCTGCTTTATGAATCGTGATCAAATTCTGACTTCAGAAATTTACCCCAAAGTGCCAATTACTAACCATAGTTAGATTACGACTTGACTGTGGTCTGATCATGGTCCAGCCCTATGGTACTATTTTACTTAATTCAAATGGTAAAAATGCTGTATACAAAAAAAACTTAATTCATATGAGTGATGAGGATGGCTTGATGCAGCTCTCAAGCCAGCTCATTCACTCAGTAATGCACTGAAGGCCTTAATCTCAGACCTTGGCCAGAGCTAAGACCTTAGGCCTTACCGACCAAAAACTTACTACAAGGTGAGTTGATCACAATACTATAGTTATAGTGTTTTATTCAATTTCAATGCCAAAAGTGGTGTGACATTTGATACAAAGATATAAATATGATTTATTTCCTCATTAGGAAGTTTCTGGTGCCAGAGACACCTGGAAATGTCAAAGACTTAAAAATTACCTTTCTGGCACAGGATTACAAGTAAAATAGTGTGACATGTAATTTTCTTTTGAATTTTTTAGCCAGTGTGATGCGTGATATACAAACTGATTAAAATACTATGGTACAACATAACAGATTTGAGTATCATAACTAAGACACTAATTTATACTATACTAACAATGGTATTCTAAATAAATTTCCCACTAGTATTTAACTCAGAAATAATATTGGTGTACAATAGCTATATTTATGCTGTTTCTTTAGTCCCTTGCTGTGGTTCAAATTCTCTGGCCTGTTGTAGATCCGAAAGTTGGAAAGGGGCCCTTAAACCCCCAATCCAAGATCAATTCTTAAGCGGAGCACCAGTGATCATCAATCATTCATCATATGAAACATTTGTGACACCGTTTGAATCAGCAGTGAGATCACTACTTAGTCTCAGTCTCCTTTCATGATGACCACCTCGAAGACCATCTCCCCAGAAGTGCGTCTCCCTCCGCTCCCCCGCGGCGCCAGCCTGCCGTATGCACGGCACGTATGCAAATGGGGGCTGACCCTCGTGATGGGCGACGCAGTGCAGTGTTGTAGATAAGATGATAAGGGTTATTGAAAATAACCCTTATTTTCAAGGTAATGATATACCCTTATCTTGTGGCTAGTCCAAGATAAGGCCCTTAATATGCTTATTGATTGCATCAAGTAACAGGTCACGGCTGCACATTCACCTGTCAGCATGGGTGCTGGGCCACATTTACAGAGGAGGGTTGGCTAATGGAGCTGTTGCTGGTAGAATACAGTGGTAAGGAACTTGATGATGGTGCAATGGAGGGCTCAGGCAATGATTACAACCTTTAAATGAGCTTCAAACCTTGGTGTCCCAAAAAGGAAATTCTCTTAATAAGACCCTTATTATCAGGACCCTTAATAAGGGCAAATTCCATAATAAGCCCTTATCTTGGAGACTGACCCTTATTAAGACCCTTATCTACAACACTGACGCAGTGTGTGCCGTCATCATCAAGCTCAGCGAAATCGACGCCGGGGTGAAGACGGCCGACCGAACGGGGGCAGCGTGCGAGTGCTGCCAGCGGCATGGTGCTGCCTGAGCTCCTCGTGCTCGCGGTCCTGGTGGCCGTGCTGCCGCTCGTGCTGGCGCCCTTGAAGTAACCGCACAGCAGCGCCACGCGGGGCTGCTCGCGGCGTGGATTGTCGTCGGTGCGTGCCATCGTGATCTTGCTCCCGCACCCACCGCTGACCAGTATGAACTGATTAGCGCACACATGCTTTGCCGTGCTTGCCGCGCTGGAGGAGCAGCTCACGGGGACCAAGGGCGCGCCGCTGCTTGTGTGCCTCTGCGTCGTCTTCTCCTTCGCCGTCTACGTCAGCAGCACGGGCTGGCTGACCCACTCCCTCATGGAGAATCAGGCCGCCCGGAGCCAGGCGGCGGTGGTGCGTGACATCAGCATGACCATCGCTAGCTACTTTCGCTCACTCCGCGGCAGAACATCAGCCGCGTTGTGTCTGCCTCGGCTGCCATCGCCGCCTTCTGCGGGCTCTCGACCGGCGCCGCGACGCTGCTAATACCGCACGCATCGTCGACGGAGGACCGCGGCGTCGGCCCGGCCGTGGCGCTCACGGCGCTCGGGGTTAAACTCGGCGTATTCGCCATGATCGCCAAGCTCAGCTGGAACAAGCCACGGGCCGGCGGCCCAACCCGCGCCGCCCGACCCGACCCGGTGGAGGACCCGGAGGAGCATCGCAAGCGACAGGCGGCATGGCACGCGGCTGAGCGCTGAGGAGGCGGCTTCCAAACAAAAGGTTCACTCGGAAGGGGGACGCACGAGAGTTAAGTAGTGCAGAGTGTGCAGTGGCTCATGTTTGCGTCCGTGTGCGCGCTCTCGTGGTGTAAGTCGCGCTGGGTCCACTTCTTGCCGATTGACTATTGACCGATGGCAGGCCAACTGCTTCAACAGCATCCTCCGGGACGTTGACGCGGATCACGCCTCGCCGATGGCGGGGGTGCGCATCTGGCTCGGCGTCTTCGCGGGGGACATCGGTGCATTCGCGGCGGCCATGAGCTTCAGCACGCTCCCGGGCCGCGTGGACCGCGACGCACAGGAGGCCAGGCGCAAGTTCGGCGCGATGCCGGCGTGGATGCGCACGCAGGAGCGCGTCTTTTGTAGCGATGCCTTGCTGGATGTCGGGTATGTGTATTGCGACGCCGAGTCGGAGAGGGACTGGACGGTGTTCGCTGACGTCACGCACAGCAAGACGAACTAGTTGATGTATTGTACTTATCTGAGTCAATCTTATTGTATCGAGCACGGCCTATGGAACAAAAGCAGCCTTTTTCATCTTCTCTAGCTCAGACCACGGTGGCAAATCAAAAATCCTTGGCAGCTGCGCCCAAAAGTCGTGTTTCGCAGTCCGATACGCCCTCCTCATGCGCCGTATGCACGGGGCACACGCATCGAAGGTCCACTTCCCAAGGTCTGCAGGCCACACCTCAAGTGGGAGGACGGACTCCTCCTCGGGCGAAAAGGCGCGTTGGGCCTCGAGTTGGCGGCGGATCTCCATGCGCTGAGTGAGGCAGTCCCGGGGGTCGATGCAGCCGGGCGCATCGGCCCACAGGAAATTGAGCATCTTCGCCGTCTCCTGAGCTGCGAGCCGGCGGTAGCTGACCACCCAGCGGTGTTTGTCCTCTACACTCAGGTCCGAGCACAGCACCTCGCGCTCGTCGCCGCAGCGGCACAGCTCGTAGAAGACAAAGGGCAGCAGCCACTCCAGCGAGAGGCGCCGGGCGAGCAGCAGGATGTCGATCAGGTGCTCTGGCAGATTTAGCCCATTGTGTTCGCCACGTGTCCGTCTCTCGACCAAGTCCTCGAACTCCGCGAGGGTTGTTGGAAAGAGCACCGCGAGCTGGCCGCTCAGCCGCTGGCAGAGCGGCGCCACGTCGTATTTGTGGCACATCCCGAGCGCGGAGAGGAGTACCGGGAGCGCGTTGTCCTTCACATGGGGGGACAGAAAGCTAGCGCTGGCGTAAGTGAGTGTAACGAGCAAGCCAAGTGCGCCAGGTGCACGCACTTGTAGTGGATCAGCGCCTTCAAGAAGTTCGTCATATCGTAGGCTGAGTCGGGCACGCCGACGAGCGGGCAGCCCTCGAATGTCTCCGCGTCGGCGGGTGTAGGCAGGGCGAGCATGTCGCGGAAAATGGGCGAATGTGCCACCATGAAGTCCCGCGAGACGCGGAAAACAGTGTTCTCTGCGCGCAGCACAAGCCCGCAGTCGGTGAACCACAGTCCATCTGCCCGTATTGGCACAGAAGACTCGGAGGCGGGGTCTACCCTGTCCATTGCGGTCTGTGTAGATGACAGTGAGAAGGCAAGAGAGGTTTGATGTGACACGGCGATCAATGCTTGATGCCAGAAATTGATGTTGAGTATCTTACTTGACATTTGATGCTATTATGAGTGCTGGCCATTATTATATTACAATTTATTATTGTGCCATATTAGATTATATTACAATATTATTATAGCTCCAGCATAATATATTATAATATATTATTGTAGCAACTGATATCACACCGGGGTTTCTGCTAAAAAATAGGCCCTGAAGTAGGATTTATTTATGATCAATAGTGGACAAAAAAAATGTATATTTTCACAACTTGGAACAATAACAAATAAAACTCCAGAAAAGTAGACTTGATTTGTAAAAAGAATTGGGGCAATATTAAGTCATCAGATTGGACTGAACTCAGAGGCAATATTAACTGACAATTTTGTGGCAATGATTTGCAACCAATAAATGCACAAAATATGTCACAAGATATGAGACTACTGTACTATTTCAATCAATTAGTCCTGTCACGGTCACATTGACTTTTTTGGCCGAAAATTTTCTGCCTGTCACAGGTCACAGCAAGTTTCTTTGGCCCTAAACCGTCCCAAAATGGTAATTTTTAAAAGTTTCCGCGCCTACGGCGCGCAGAACTTCCATATAAGGCAGGAGGTCACACCAAATTCACCCCTTGGCTGAATTGCACATTTCTGCCACATGTGTCACAGGTCACAGGCCCGCAGAATTGAATGAAATAGTACAGTATATATATCAAAAATCTGGGTCAGCACCAAAGTGTACCTAATATATCAGAAATAAGTGACAAATTGCCATTATATATGACAAATCATCCTTATATATGACAATTCAGGTAATAATAATGTGACACTATTTCTTTGTCAAATATTTGGGCTTGAATAATGTGCACTTATTGTTTACAAAACATGGTCCGGAATGGGGTAATCTGATACCATGATATAGAACTTGATTTCTTGTAAATCAGATACAATTTTTGCAGCTTTTATTGCAAAGCAGCAAAAAAGGCCATTGTTTTGGACCATTATATATAAATCCTACTTAGGGGACCATTTTTTTGGCGGAAACCCCGGTGTGTATGTTAGTCCCAAACTTATGCACTTTGTCAAGGGGGTCCCAGGGATGGTAAAAGAAAAAACTTTTGCTGAGTATACAAACGTTTGGGGATTCTGGCAGGTCTGAGGTTGGCGTTGTAGTATATTTGTAGTATTTTAGCTAAGGCTTCTCACAGGTGCCACAGATAAATACCTGTATTCTACCTGCAGGTAATTTAGGTATTAAAACCAATACTATACTCACAGATACAGGTACCTGTGCAAGTTACCTGATTCAGGTATATGTCACAATAACAGCAGTGAGTGTAGCATCTAGTATTAAGTATTGTACTGATATAGACACTACAGAGCATTAGAAGAGTGTAGTGAGTGGAACATAATGTGTGATCAGGGGAATATATTACCCAATATGGAGACCAGATGGCCAAAAAGAAAACTTTTTGACAGTATATCCAATTTTCAAAAGTTGGGACCCCCCTTGCACTTTGTACAAAACCAGCTTTATACCAACTAGTACTACTTCTATTATTGTTATGTCAAACCCTGGGTTTAAGAAACCTATTTCTTTGCTTTTTAAACCTTTTATTCTGGCCCTGGTTGATAAGATGAGACCAGGAGGAGATAAGATGAATGACAAGATGGTGATTGGATCATCAGATGTTGATTCTGATGTTGATTGACAGCGTGGAGTTGGACATGAGGCAAACAGCATGTAAAGGCATGGCTAAAGTATAATGACATTGCCTCTTATATTAGGCATGCTAAACACATAGTGTAGTGTATTATGTATATAAGTAGAGTAGATTTTGTCTTATACCCCAGTCTCCGAATTCCATTATCTTTGCTATATCTTTTCATGGTGCTTCTTGCTTGCCTTCACTGGCCAACTGGCATTCTTTGATTTGGTGTTGTTTGTGACATGCTAAGGTTAATTGTGACTTATTAGTATTATTTGTTAGCAATAATAGTGTCAGTTGAAGAAGACTTACATATTAGACTATCAACAACTAGAGTGAGACAACACTTGGCCTGAACCAACATCCAGTCTCAACATTTTATCAATTCACTGCAGACATGTGACTAAAAAGCCCTCTCTAAACATAATCTATACTGAAAACTAAGGTTGAAAAGGCTGAAAGCTTGTTGGAGCAGGATCACATATTTTTAGAATATAATATTTCACATTATTATTTCAATATTCTATTATATTATAGATATATTATGCTGCAGAGAACCATATTATGATATTGTGATACTATTATTTATCATGCCTTTAGCATAATAATCTCATAATAGGCTAGCACTAGCTATTATTATCATAGCTCTAATATTTCTTGAGACCAATACTATAAATGTTGCAGTGTATAAACCAAGGGGCTGTCAAGATGCCTATCACAGATAATGGGGGGAGGGGTCCCAAGCCCTAGAAAAAAACATTTACTGCTTCTCATATCTTAACTAAATATGGCTAGGGACACCTTAAAAACAGCTATAGTGTATCTGCTACTATATCCCATATATATATTCCATCTCATATACCTACTTATAAGCAAGGTTTAATAAGCCTCATTCTCATTACACTACTAGTGATACATGACTGGTGATTATCACATATATGACCTTATATAGACCCTATGGACCCATATAAGCTCAGAAAATCATATACTTAATACCTCTTTACAACATATATAGTGAAGTTAACACAAAAATATTACTTTTATCGGTGGTTTTTATCCCATGAATTGGTCACATGCCTCAGCAATCTTATCTAATCATGGGAAATTATTACCTGATATGGTAAGAGGGGGAGGGGGTTCCTGGCACACTGGAATTTTATTTTCCGACCCTATATCCATTTTCCAAATCTTGACAGCCCCTTGGTTATGAACCCTAAATTCATTCTCTTCCTAACTAGTACTTACAGTTGCTGCTGAGTTGTAGACAATCAAACCCAACATCATCTATTATGCAATATTAAGTGGACTCAGTGGAGATCAGCCTTAGATCTATTCAAGCTCTCAGAATTATATTCAGAACCCAAAAAAACCCTACTGACAATGTGCACCTCAGTGAGCCTCCAAAGCAATATATAATTACAAACATGAAACAAACTACTATTCCATTTTATTCAGTTCCTCATGGCCCGCAGTGTTTAAGGCCTTATTAGTTACCTGTCCTCATTCTATATGAACAACTCCCTATGCTGCGGTTGGAGCTGCAAACCAGGACATATCGGTATATGGGCATGCTTACTATAGCTTACATCACTCAAAGTGGCTACTTAGGTCTAAGACTCAAGTGCTCACCAAGACTCGAGTTACAAGTGTTAAATGTATGACCCCAACCCAGCATCCATACATGCCACAGTTGGAGGGATTTGGACCCTTGAAGGGGTGCTAAAACAAGCTGAGTATTATATTTATATTCCTTAACTTTGCCTTAATGTTCTTTATTTGCAGGGATGTACTTCTTTTAAATTTCATGTCCATGCCATGTAGAGACCAGTGGAGTCACTGCAAGTATGTAGCCAAGGCATTCCGAATCAATGATCAACGGTGAGTCATCGGTCACAGCCACCTGCCCTCTTTCTCCTTCTGCGACAGCGCCCAAATACCGTGCCAGCGCTCTGAAAGAACCAACCACAGCGCGCCGAGCGGCTTCACAGGACGACAATTCGGACCCTCGAAGTAATGCGCTCCACCATCGTGCGTGGACGCTCCCAGCTGATATATCGACCCACCGCTCCCGGGATCCCGACTTCCCCTTTTGCGCGCGAAGGACGCCACGTTTGGGCCGGCGGTTCTTACCCCGCAGTGATTTCTCGCGAATAGGCTGGTTCAGGCGAGACGGCTGCTGGGTTTGGGCCGCGCAGTGGTTCTGAGAAGATGGTCCTGCCCTGCACATGTGTCGCCCCAGCTGCGAAGACCGAGGATCGTTCGATCGGATGCGAAGATGGCGAGCGGCTACGAGGCGTATAAAGAGAGGGGGAGGCGAAGGGTACGTCCCAGAAACCCTCGTTTTCTTCCTACCACTCACGTTTACCATGCAGTTTTTGCGCATTCTCGCTGCCTTCGCTGTTTCCGCCGTTGCGGTGGCAAGCCCGCTCGCCGCGAGCGACGCCAAGACCAACCTCGCCGACCTCAACACCAAGGTCGCCAATCTCGTTGCCCTGCTCGAATCGATCACCTCCACATCGTCCTTCGGTGACCTTGTGGTACGCTTGCTTTTATCCGAGTCCTTTTTCTTATGTCTCCTGAGAAAATCGGCACCGACTCGTCCATCGTGCAGAACCAGCTCAAGACGACCACCAACTCGTTCACGGGGACCTTCAGCCCTGCCGACTGCACCAGCCTTTACAACAGCGCCACGGGCCTCTCCGGCGCGAAGGCCAAGACGGAGACGTCGCTCAAGGATATCCAGGCCAAAGCAGCGGACATCATCAGTGCGTCGTCGTTCTTTTCCAAACTTCGGGTTTAGTTAGCTGGCCTAGAAATTGGCGGCCAGGTTATCAAGTCGACCACAGCCGACAGCATCTCGTCGTTTCAGAAGAACACGATCGGGCTCAATGACGCGGCGGCCAAGGTGTGCCCGGTTAGTCGCTTTACTCCATTTGCGCTTTCTTCGCCGCTCATCGGTCTGACGACAGAACATTGCCGATAAACTCAACGCCGACTCCAAGGAGCTCAACATAATCTTCAACGCTGCGCATGCCGCATTCGCGTAAAGGGGATCTTTCGAACGTGGCATTCCAGACAATATACACGACGCGCCTGTAATCAACCCACTGTTGAATCAAATTCTGCTCGTTTCTTTTCGATTCTATAGTTAGCGCTCGTCGGATAGATGGATAGAGATACGTGCGCGATCCCATGATCCCAAAGTACTCATTGAGCGCATTGAATCTGTCCACTTCGTTCTTTAGGTCTTTTACCACCGTGGACCGTGGTTTGCACCCCACAATTTCCTCACAATGTTGCCGCCGATGGCCATCTTGCCAAGATTTTCGCCGTCGTGAGCCTGGGCCTTTTCTTCCTTCTGGTTCCCTTCAAAGAGTGTATGTCGCCTGCTGCTGATATGAAAGAATAGAGGAAGAAGTGATGCCAATTGACAGGAATGCCGACGATCAGTGACATCACATCATTCTCGTGTTTTTTTCCTACCGTCATCTCGAATCACGACCCTTAGGACCAAGATATGCATATTGACGTGCCCACCGACATACTGGGCGAAATTTTCCGGCACTGCCTCCCCCCATACCCCAGATGCCCACCGATGTTTGGCTGCGATGCCCCAACGAACCTCGCGCAAGTTTGTAGAAACTGGCGGCAGGCGGCGTACGACACGCCCTACCTGTGGCGGGCTCTGCAGCTCCACCTATGGCACTTCCAAGAGGGCAACTTCACAGCCGCCGAAAACCAGGTGGCGGCAGCGCGGGCGTGGCTCAGCCGATCTGGCGCGCTCCCGCTCTCCATCTTTCTCCACTGCTCGACAGACCCCACGCCTCTCGCACCAGTGCTCTTAGAAGCATTCACATTGCTCCTTTCTCATTGCTCGCGATGGGAATATGCTTACCTTATGGTCCCTGCGGCGCTTCCGGCCGACATGACAATGCCCGCGCTCCCCCTGCTTGTCCAACTCGAGATCTCCGTCCCCAGGCTAGTCGGGGGAAGCGCTGTCCAGCCGTTGCGCTGGCTCCCCGCCCCTAAGCTCCGAACATTGGATGTGCGCTTTGGCAAGGTCTTCCCTGCATACGTCCTCAGCCCCGACAGCTGGAAAAGCTTGACCATACTCAGAGTATTCGGCATCCAATGGGGCCACGCAATGGAAGCCCTTTCTCTGGCCACTGGTCTCGTGAGCTGCTGGCTCCAGCTGCACGAAGACAGACTCTCACGCCGCGTGCTTGCCCCTTCCGGACAGCCCTTGCAACTGTATTTGCCACATCTAGAGACGCTAGCACTCCCGGCCACGGATCCAGCGACGGTGCAGCTCAACCGCAGGCTGCTCGACAGCCTTCGGGTACCCGCCCTTCGCAGCCTGGCAATAGACAAGTCCTTCATAGCAAGCTACCGCCGCAGCCATTCAGTGCAGGAGACGGCCCACCACTTTGCCCGACTCCTTGACAAGTGGGGGTGCTCTATGACGCTTGGCCGTCTTACGCTTCTCGTGTGGGAGCAGCCACCGGCAGATCTCAGCGATGATCGAGGTGACGGGCTGTGGCGGAACGAGATACACACCGCGTTGCCTGCCATTACCGATCTCGAGTTCCGATTCAATGATGCGCCGTTTGATGAATCGCCCCTCCTTTTTGGAAGCTGGGAGCTGAACTTTCAAGTGACTTGGAGATAGTCTGGATGTGCCAAAGTCCCCGAGTCATATTGGTCCCTCGGAGTATTTACTTGCTGTATATGCGGCGCCAATTTTGAATTGAGCCTCTGCGGCCGGATATAGTATATCATTTAGTCTGATTTTTACTCCCTAAACTTGTTGATTCAAACAGTAGTATTTCTTGAACAAAAATCCTTTTTACATGAAACAAATCACTGCAGGAGTTTGGGAATAAACGGCGCTTGTTTCGATAGATTATACTAGACAGGGCTGGGGCTACGCCCCAGCTTTGAACTTGAATGTTGCTTGAATAACATTAAATTATTAAATTTCTAAATTAAGAACATTGCCACTAACTACAGAATGGCACACAGATACCCAATGGCGTTCTTAAATATCTGCTGCTATTATATGTTAAGTGCAACCCAAGTCACTAAACTGTGTGTACTTATTTCTCAATTTGTGGGTGATTTGAGAATATCTACTTGTAAATAACCTTAGATACAACTTGTTTACAGTACTGGGTGCAAGACATCACTTTCAGCTTTGCATCCCAATTGGGATTGGTCACATTTTACAGCTTTTCTCACCAATTTAGGACTTTAACAGCAGTAACCCCAAAAATGGAAGTGTGGAGCAAATCAATTGTCAAAGCTAATGCCAAACATGTGCATACATTCACACGACATCTGCTTAATATAAGAGTAATGCCTAAAATCAATGTGCCAAAGTTTTATACCTCTATTTGTGCCCAAAGATATGCACTTATATGACAAATAACTTGAAATAAGGCCCTGGATCATATAAGTGAATATCTTTAGACGCAAATAGGGATAGAAAAAAAAAAAAATTCTTTTTTGGCCCATCGATTTTAGGTGTATAATCAATTGAAATGGGCACCATTTTATTTCCAAACTCCTGCGGTGAATGTGGAAACCAGTTTGTATCAAGTTTTCCTTTTGTGGAAACTATTTGTTTGCTGTAAAAAAGATTGTTGTACAAAAACTAGTACTTTCTGAATCAATATTTGAGAGTAAAAATCATGGTAAAGTTCAGAGTTGATACAGAGCTGGTCACTGTGCTTCAAGTTGCAGAGCAATTGCAGAGACATCTAAACTGGAATTCTCACCAAGGATCCAAACCTGGTGTATATGGTGTCTGTAACCAATGACTGACGAGTTGTTGCTAAGGCCAGAAAAGCCTACCATGTGGTGCACTGCAAGCTAGTACTCACAGCCTTGCACCTCATGACTATATGGGATTCAAAAAGGTTGTTACAGCTTAGATTAGCATGTTTCTTAAGTAGGACTGCCCATTATTATATTATAACTTAATACTATTATTAGTATTAGCACTATATTATCCCTGGTATTAGCCAGAACAATTGTACATTATCCCATATTAAAATATAATTATATTATTCCAACAAATTAGATGGCAGCCCCAAACTTATGCACTTCTTACAAAACTAGCTTGTTTAATAACTAGTACAACTTCTATTGTTGTCCTTATAGTATTGATGTACTGTGAAATTTGAATCATTATTTTTGTCGCACAGATCAGCTGGGGTGTGACGTGTGACCAACAAAATAGTACAGTAAGTGCCTATTCTACACCATTACATTATATTACTGAACTATATACTGAAAACTAAGGTTGAAATGTTAAAGTTTATTGAAGTAGGATCATATATTATAATATATTATGAATATTATGATATTATCATTACCCATTTAGTATAAATCTTATAACAGGCCAGCATTATGAATCTCAAGTGATACACATTGGTCGTAAATATTAAGATGCAGAACAATTCAAGCACAAACTGCTTAACTTTATATGAACATCCTATAGTATAATATAGAATGATATAATAATGAATAATAAATCATCATGTAATGACGGCCAGCACTAGAACCATTTATAAATCGTTTCAAACATTTCTGACTGTTTATGTTTTTATTCTATTTGAAAATTTGACAAACAGAAATAAAATAGTTGAAGCCTAGTAGCTGAACCAGGGACTCATCTGCAGCTGCTGATACTGCACCTGCACTCGGCCCCGGGCCCGCTTCCACGTAGCTTTCATTGCAAAAGTTAAACTCGATTATTGGCTCATTGACTGTTCGATACAAAATAATTCAGATGACACTAGTAAGGACTTTGAGTCTTTGACATAAATAAGTTCACACTGGGACTGTTGGAGGAAAAAATAAGAGAAATCATGATATACAGAATCTGTTGATAAGAAAATCGACACCACACCCCAGCTTTTGTGCTATACAGTAAATAGCCCGCAGTGCTTGCCACTGCAGTCACGGGTCAGCCTCGGTGTCCTCGCCGAACGCATCTGCCTTGGCCTTCTCCAGCTCCTCCCATCCAGGCAGCGCGAAGATGTCGGGCAGGCGCGCCCACAGCTTCGCCCGCGCCGCCTTGCGCTGTCCGCGGAACTCGGCATAGCACGTGCCGCAAAGCATCCCATCGTCCACATCCGCGTCCGCGAGGAGCTCGAGCGGCAGCTGCGGGGCGGACGTACCGTCAAACAGGCCGCGGCGGAGCTGTGCCCGGGCCCAGACGCACGCGTCATGCCCGATGCACGTGTAATACGCAAGCGGTCCGGAGCCGGGCGGGTCCTGCCAGAGGAAGCGGAGCAGGCGCGTGACCTCGCGCGTCTCGAGCGCGCGGAGTCCCGTGACCCAGCGCTGCTTGTCCGCGACTGCTAGCGCGGGGGACCACACGACGCGCTGCTCGTCGGTGCGGCGGCACAGCTCGTAGAAGGCGAACGGGAGCAGCCAGTCTGCGGACACCTGGCGGGCGGTCGTGATGAGTGCGATGATGCAGTCACCGTCCGCTTCCGCGGGTGCCTCAGAGTCGGTGGCGCGGGCGCTCAGCTCTGGGGCCTTAAGTCCCGCGAGAGTGGTCGGGAAGAGGATCGAGAGCTGCGTGAGGATGCGCTTGCGCAGCGGCGCGACGTCGTACTTGTGGGACATGCGGAGGACGGAAAGCAGGGTGGGAAGACCGTTGCTATTGACATCGGGGGCGAGAAAACTAACAGCGAGTCAGGTTATGGAAATAGGTATCAGAACAAGGACGCACTCGTAGTACACCAGCGCCTTGAGGAAGTTGGTCATGTCTTCCGCCGTGTCGGGGAGCAAGACGAGAGGACAGCCATCGAAGGTCTCCGCATCAGCGGGGGCGGGGAGGGCCAGCATGTCGCGGAAGATCGGCGAGTGGGCCGCCATAAAGTCGCGCGACACGCGGAAAACCGTGTGCTCGGCGCGCAAACACAAGGCCGCAGTCGCTGAACCAGAGGCCGTCAGCGCGTTGGAGGATGAGGATACCGTAGGCGTTCGCAGTCATTGTGGGGAGAGCCTGAGGGTGAAAGTGGGGGGGAATGAACGAATGAGGGCAGCACGGCGACCTTAAAAGCAACGCCCCGCAGTGAGTCATGATTTGCAGCCTGTCAAGCGGGCTCCGGAGAAGCAGCTTATTCGCTTCCGAGTCCCCGGTTACCGCCGCTGTGCCTCCGACCAGGCCTCTGCCAGTCCTGTTGCGACCATCAGCGATTTGATGCGGATTCCTGCCTCAAAAGAGGGCAACCAAAGTGCCGCTTTGGCAAACGAAGCCCGACGGCGACTTCATCGGAGCGAGGCGAGTGCGGGGAGAGAAGCTGCACTATGGCATGGCAGCGGGAGAAGCAGAACCTCGAGGAATGGCGCGATCTTCAGGCCCGAGGGCAATACAGCAAATTCAAGGTCCACACGGCCACCATTATCGCCTTCGACCAGGTATCTTCCTATTGCGATACTTGCTGCCGATTTGACGCGAACTTGAATTTGCGCATCTGAAGAGGGCAATTGCAACAGAGATATCGATAAGCCTATATCGCTTTAGCTCGACGGCGACTCACCGCGAGGCCAGTGCGGAGACAGAAGCCGTCTCGACTCCACTACTACTAGTCGTGTCCGCGGGCTGAACGTAAACAGTGACATCATAGCTTCCAGGCCCGGGGGCCCACCGAGCAGGCGAGGCAGCATGCGGCCCGCGGGTGGGCTCGAGGACCAGACATGCGACGCAGCGAGAGCACAACTCGGGGCATTTTCACCCCCGGGCTGCGTGCCTGGGCGGGGTCCCTCCCTGGCGCGAGGTGGGCTTCGAGAAATTCGAGAAGGCAAGCGCCGGGGACAGCGGACCTTGCGCGGTCTGGCACCTTTCTTTTTCTCCCCCTCAGGCTGCCCACCCTCGGACTACATGTTCTCATGAGACGAAGCTGACGCCTCTCAGGCCTGGAGTGCAGAAAGTGACTAAAGAGAGTGATGATGAGCTGGGAGCGGCGAGCTGGCAAAGACGCATACCACACTCGCAAGTTCGTGCTTCTGGTGCAGGGCGGCGCACTGGAGACGACCCACAAGCACATAATGTGGAATCTGGCGGCACAGTTCCAGGACACTGGCAGCACAGTTTTACTGAGGACAGTATGAGAGAAGAAGAGAACGTTCGACGGGCATCGTACCACTCTACACGAGGTCCTCATTCGCGGGCCTCCCCCCTTCAGACTGCCCGCTCTCAGACTGCGAGCTCTCGCTGAGACTGAACTGACGCCCCAAACCTGAAAAGCGTAATGAATCAGAAAGGAATGGCGAGGACGCATACCACTCGCAAGTCACGGTGTGCCCTTTAAGTTCTCCCCTCCTGTGCATGCGTGAGTCTTGTGCAGGGCGGCGCATGGGCGACCACCCACGAGCACCCGTCGTCGTCGAGGAAGTAAGTAGTCGCATGTCGGCCTCAGTGCGCTTGTCGAGGACAGTGTGAGGCAAGAAGAAAAAGATCGACAGGCATCGTACCACCCATTTCATTTCCGCTCTCCCCGGTAACTGGTCCCTTTTTCCGCCCTACGCCTAGTCGGCGGGCCCTGCTGTGCTTGCGGGAGCACTGGCAGGCAGACAGCAGGGGCACATGTGTCCAATAGAGGGTCCGAGTCCGCCTGCAAAGCCGGGTATAGCTGGACGGCAAAGGCGCCAAATAGCAAGAGATGCCGCAGGGCCGTAACTGTGCCAGAGAGTGCAGCCCTGGGAGCAGTTGTAAGCATACGGTCGGTCAATTTAAGGAGCAGAGACCAACTTGCGCGAGAGCGGTCCTGCCCCGCCGCTCGCGACAGCGGGAAAGAGCAGGAAAAGGTGTGACGTGACAGGCGGCCACGTGCGCGTTACATCTGACACTCGTGACTCCCAGAGTGTGGATGAAAGTCAGTTCAAAGAGTAGTGAGTTACTGCAAGGAGTATCAAAATAAAGTTTCTGTTTACCAAGTAGTAAGAAGAAATGATTTCTGGAAAAGAAAAATGACAAAAGGGGTTATGGATGTAGGGTCTGAAAGTTTTTTTCTGACCCTCCGGACCCCCCTCCTGCCATATAGAGTAATATGTTTCGACGATTAGCATCATGTGACTACTCATGCCATCAAAAAAGTGGCATAAAAATTCAATCTTTGTGATTTTTTATTTATTTAAAATTATGTATATGTATATGAATGTGTAGGTATGTAAGTATCTGGAAGCTTCAAACACTAGCGTGCTGTAAGTAATTCCTCGGGAATTACTTACAGCTAGTTTCGAAACAGGCCACCTACCAGGGCCGGACCACCCAGTTGAGACCAACAAGATTAGGCACTTGTGAAATACTGCACTTGTGCCTCCATTAGGAAATTGTTAGAGAATCCTGCACTTGTGTCAGCATTGTGTGACGGAAATCAATCAAAGAATCAAATGGGATTATTTAGAAGACTCTGCGCATCCAGGGTAGAAAACCCTGGCCGTCAAGGCTAGTGCCGCAATCACAAGTGTAGAAGGTGCCAATGGGGTTTAAAGAGGGAAGAAAAGGGAGCAGGTGCACCCTGTTGCACCGCGCAGCAGGCCATGCGGCGAGCGACAGCCCCCGGCAGGGTGGGTCCAGGGCAAAGCCCTAGGCGGGGTTCGGGGTGGTAAACCCCACCCGCCGCTGCCGGCACCGCCACCATTGTCATGGATAAGACCCGGCCCGTCCGCTCCGGGCGCTGGTGTCGGGCCATCGCGGGCCCGTAGCATGCAGCACATGACGACGGGGAACATGTGCCCTAGTAGGAGGAACGCACACGTGGGAAGCACGTGACCGAGAACAACGTGTCGAGCCGTCGCCGAGCCAACTCAACACCAGGGGACTGGAGAGGAGTGCTAGGAGGTTAGGAGTAGCGCCTGACTCGCAAGGGATGTATGATCGTCCCCTCTGTGGCCAGGAACGGGGGTGAGGAGGAGCAGGAGAGGCCAGGGTGTCCGATCACCCCCCTTTGCGGGCCCGCGTATATAAGGCGCAATAGTGTACCATGTACTCTATCGCTTAGATCGTCTAAAGAACTACCTTACTCTGTGCAAGGAGGCATTATTGACTCATCGGGCCTGACACGACCTGATTCGAACCTTCGACCTAAGGCTTCTCACGAGTGTCACGGATAAATACCTGTACTCTACCTGCGGGTAATTTGGGCTTCAAAACCAATACCTGCATTTGCAGCATCCGTGGGAAACGGGTACCTGTACTCACGGATACGGGTACCTGCACGGGTTATCCACGGGTATTTCATATAAAAAATCAGGATACTAAGTTGAAGTTCGACCACCGACGACGACAAGGGACCGAGTTCACGGGCCCTTTCGGTTTCGATCTACCCTGCCCGCCGTACTTGCGGGCCTGACTACCCGTCTGTTCTGTTCCGGGTGCACGTTCTTAGGAGAGGTCCTTGCACGGCCTGACCTGACCCGCAGTCTGACAACCATGCAGTCATACTGCTTGATTGATGCACAAGAAAAATGATGAATCATTTCCTAATCAGGACAAGTGCAGTATTTAACAGCAAGTGCGGTATTTCCTAAACAGTAGTGCGGGCCTAACCTGGTATAGCCTCCCAAAAGGAATGACATATCTGGCTAATTATTCCATTGTGTGGGGGCTGTGGGATAGGATGCCACTGGTCAGCTTGTGCTTGGATCTGTGCATTGTTGATTGAATACAACCATAGTATATATATATTCAGCCTGCCTTACATCAACTGGATCACAATCCCCCAAACGACGTGCCTCTTGTCCAAATCCACCTCCAAAGCCGGCCAGGGTTGCATGGACCAAGCCCGGACCAAAGCTGAGGACTGTAAAAACATCAGCACAATTCACAGGAAAAACACAGCAGTTGACCAACAGTGACTGGCTTCAGGTTTGTCCAGCTATCCTAGGATTGTCCGATGCCGATTTGCTGTAGGTCTTTGCGTTTATGGATGAGAACCCCAAGATGTCGCAAGATAAGGTTGTCTAATTCTTCAAAACCCGCATCAACAGTCTCGGCGGGAAGCTCTTGTTCATGCAGGGTGCATTGTCAAAGAAGCTGAAAGAGAAGGCCTCGATAAGAGCAGCAGTGGCCGCAAATCCAGCAGCAGCAGTACAGAAATGCAAGGGTGTTGTCACTGAGCCACGCGTGGATGCTGCACTAAGCCTATGAGCCAAGGACCAAGAGTGCTAACGTTAGACAGTCACTAGTACCATGCTTATTGAGATGTGCAAGCATTTTGAGGCATTGTTTGATATCCCAGACAAGTGATGACTCAAGGGCACTAGATAGTTAGACTCCTTTAAGAAAGTAAATGGTCTCCAGGAGTATTGGCGGCATAGAGAAGCGGCATTAGCGTGTGGATCTAGCCGCTGTTGAGCAAGAGCGCCAGCGGATGGTCAATATTCATGTACCTTATGCTGGAATCATGACGAGACAAGTTTCTACCCATCTGCCGCACCAGACCGCACGTTGTCTGGGAAAAAGACTGACAAGTTCAGCATCTCTGTTCTTGTTGCCTCTAACTTGACTAGGACTGGAAAAAGAACCCCTGATGTTAATTGGCAAGGCTAATAACAAGAAAGACCCGGCACGCTGATGAGTGCGGAGTGCGGACAGCAAATGAGCTCTCTAACTAACCAAACCAACAAAAACAACCAAAACTCCACTTTTCATAGAGAGAAAGATGTATAATGTCGAGTAGGAAAAGTCACAAAAACCCAAAAATCGTCAACTCCTTGTGCGAGTACAGGCCCCTGTGAACAGAGCCTTGGCACAGATGTGTAAGGTTGTAGGGTAGATACGAGTTTCTTGCAAAAAACGTTGATTTTGTGTGCCCTAAAGTGTACTATCGACGAAAACTCCGCAATAGAGAAGCGCCAATACGATGCCC